TGGGTATCAAGCATGGGTTTATAGAGCTGTTCGAACGGTTCTCTATGGTTTACGGTCTAGGGTCCGGGGATTGGTGTATCTCCTGCGATGGACCTGAAGCCCACCCTGAGCTCCCTAAAAAACCTTCAGCCCTCAACACTGAGCCTGCTGCAGATGTCGCGGTGGAGCCGCCAGAGACAAGTGCAGCACCGGTGGAAGAGGCGGAGGCTTGCCTCACTCAATCTTCTAGAACTTAACTCAGGCTAAGGGTTTATAGGTTCTAATTAGGGCTTCCACGGCCAGCGCTGCACTTGAGGTTCTGGTTTACAGTGCTGCCTTGTAAGATTCTCACGGGGCAATGCACTTTTTTTGGTTGAGGTTTCGAGTTAGAGCATGTGTTTGGATCCGAGTCCCGACTGATGCAGTTGAAAACCGTGGAGAAGGATTGGAAAATTTGTTTTGCGGGTTTATGCCTGCGTCGGCCAAATTTCCTTTTCCTCAACCAGTAAATGAGGCCTGCATAAGAATTTTGTAGCCTTTGAGTTTAATCCTATTCCTTGTAGCTCCTTAATCTCGCCCAAACACTCCTCCAAGAATTCAGGCCCCAACTCTCAAAATAGCATATACATATAGTTTTCAACTAGTATTGCAGCACGTCTTGTTTCGCTGGGCTGCGTAGGAAACTGAGGTATGGCTACGTTTAAATATCTAGCCGGGGACCCTAAGACGCCGATACACCTCGCTCCTGCGAGGTGGGAGCCCTCGCCGTCCCGAGCAACTGTCACTTCAAAGTGTCGAGAAAGGGTTTCAACAAGGCTGGGCAATAAGCCTGGCTTATGGTGTGGGGTGTATAGGGCTCTAATCCCCAACCCTAAAGCCCTGAACCATGAGGCCTAGGCCTTAAACCTCGGATCATTGGTGTAGGCTTCGCAAAGTAAGAGTGCAGGGCATATGACATATAGCGGCTTCAAGGACTATCGGTGCAACGCTTCGTCAACGAAACCGAGCTCAGGACTTGGCCCCTCTGAGGCTAGGGCTTTTTAGGGCTTCGGCTTTCAGGGTTTTGAGTTTCGTATTCGAGGATGTCGGGGACTTGTATCAACGATTTCAGGTTATTCTACCAAGTAATTAGACTCTATGGGCCGTGCACCCGCTGTGGCGTGGTTCACAGGTTGTACCCATGCTCAATTTTATAGTTCACACGATCTGTGCGGCCGCGTCCTCCCGAACGTGCGATTAGTTTTATTGCTGCTGCTGCTGCTGCTGCTGCTGCTCTGCCGCTGCCGCTGCCGCTGCTGCTGCTGCTGCTGCTGCTGCTGCTGCTGCTGCTGCTGCTGCTGCTGCTGCTGCTGCTTTTGCTGGTGCTGGTGCTGGTGCTGGTGCTGTTGCTGCTGCTGTTGCTGTTGCTGTTGCTGTTGCTGTTGCTGTTGCTGTTGCTGTTGCTGTGCTGTTGCTGTTGCTGTTGCTGTTGCTGTTGCTGTTGCTGTTGCTGTTGCTGTTGCTGTTGC